AATTGGCACTTCAGTTAAAATGAAAATTGCACTATAAACATTTGGGCTGAAATTGAATGTGTAAGCTAATTTCTGTGTAAAGCAAGTAAAAACATCTTTCCTTTGAATTGCTGTGTCTCTTACACCTGTGGATTGCAGATGCAGGCTGTTTCCTACTTCTAAACACCTATTTCTGATTTGCACATTGTTTGCAACTCAGCTCTCTATGAATAGATTAATAGGAATCAATATTCTGTAACTCACAAGTCATTATAATAGTGTCTGGTTTCCCCTATTTATTGTCACTGTTGTATGCATGTTGTTTGGTTTCTTTTTCCTGTTGTTTAACACAAGAGCTGATGTTACATTTAATGTTAATTAGAGTTAAGGGTCCACTGAATTTTAATTTTTATTTAAAAAAGCAACTTTAAAGGAGGCTGTAAACACCCTTAAGGACTTATTAACAAGTACCAGCATTCTTGGAGGCCCATAGTGCTCAGCTGTGCCACTCAGTGCTCTAGCAAAGTACAGAACTAGCATCTGTGTAGGATGTTCTCACTCAAAGTCCAAGAATTATGAGATGCACCTGCTTGAATACTTCACATGCTCTGAATGGTCCAGAGAAGGAAACTAACGTCTTGCTGATATGATACTGAATGCACTGGACACTGTGTATGGAACCAGTCAAGAACTTTCTCAGAAACAGATTACCAGAGTCAGTGTACTAGATTAACCTGGACTATTTGGTTAATGTTGAATTACCAGTAAGGGACATGCCATTGCAGATGTTCCCCTCCCCAGAATACACAAATAACTAGAAATCACAAAACCAAACTTAAGATTCCTCCTTTTTCCTAAATAAACACTTGTTGCAATACTGCAACAACAGGGATTTTTAGCTAAGTGAAACACAGATGGCACCAGAGCTTTTAAGTAGCCCCAGATGCCAATGAAGTCTGTTATACTGCAATGACTGTCATTCTACTTGTAGCTTGTGAAAGGAGAATGGTTAACTTTGTGACAATCTGATGTCAGTGCCCCACTCACTTTTATTCTGTAAAGAGTCATTTTAGATCAAGGAGCAGAGAACCAAGTTACCACATGAAACATTACTACTAAAAAAACAGTCTCCATGACATCATATTGGGTATCATTGTAAGTCTGTGGCCTTGGTTCCACTACCATCTGAGAAGCCTGATGTAACATCAGAGGCCACGTAACTTGGCTGTTAGTTTCCAGAGTTCAGTTACATATTTTGGACAAGCTCTGCCCCAATTACTGTCCTGTAAAAGCACAAATCCCTTCTCCTCTCACCTGCCCATGGCATTCCAGCACTACAGAAAAATCCTCTGAAGAAGAGGATTCAATCATCAGCTCTATGACATCTGTTTTGATACTCTGTTCTTTGCCTCCTTCTTTAATTGTAAAACAGAGGATGCTGACAGCTGTGTAAAATCACTCCTTAGCCTGAACATCTGCAGGGGAGAGCTTGGCTCAACACCTGGGGAATACACAGAACAACCGCTTGTTGGGAGTTGTTATACCATCACAGATAGAAAGCCTCACACAGCTCAAGAGTGAAGCCTTTACAGCTGAAGGATGCTTTGCTTTTCTGCCAAGAAATTAATGTCAGTAGCATTGGCTGTCTCACCCCAGCCCCATTATCTGTTATATCAGAAATGCTGTCACTGCCTTGGGTTTAAACTCCTCTGTATAAAATACTGTATTACTCACTGTGCCTTAACTTAATCCTTCCTTCAGTTTTTTTGCAAACTGTATGAAAGTGGTTACTTTCATAATGGTTTAATTTTTCTGTAAATGCATTAATTGGTTATTTTATATTTAATATAATTTTTGAACTGGAACTTGGCTATGGGTTTTCTTTAAAAACTGTGTGGTCTGTGCAGCTTGACGCCTGCACACAGGCGCGTGTGCCTGTTCACTGTTTTCATCTTCACTGAGTCACACATCCTGGTGAAATTCACACAGCACAGCAGGTACCCACACACCTGCTGTACAATCTCATGTAGTACTTGTTAATGTACTCAATGTGTTCAGTACTACATCATGATAATAAATAATGCAGGATTGCAACCGATTGTACTATTGTAATTTTATCTGAAAGTTTAAACATTTCTACAACTTTGTGAAATTCACTGCTTTAAATACTGCTGTTAGCTTAGCTGTACAATTAAGTTAAATGACATAAAGTACTTGCACAGGAGGTTATGTTGGTGAAAGCCTTCAGACAGGTGCTTGGATTAACTATATATAAAGCTAGTGCAGTTTTGTTAATGAGAACTAGGCAACCATTCACTCACTTCAATAGTTATTTACTTATCCTTTCTGTTAGAGACTTAAAGCTGGTCACATATGGAAGAAAGAGGCCTAAACTTTATCTTTTACTGAAGACTTCTGCCTTTACAACAGAATGCTCTACAGGGCTATCATTAGAGGAAGCCACACAGAATGCAGTGGGTGGCTTGGGATGGTGGAGTGGATACAGGCCAGTGCTGAAGATACTAAGAATCACATCCTTACTTTGAGGGTATATTCACATTTAGAATAGGGTATTCAAATAATAGGGCTTTGTACACAGGTGAAAAGTCCAAAAATATTTATTAAATTAAAAAAAAAAAAAAGTAATTTTTACCTCTTAAAGAGTTGCAATTTTGGTTTCAGAAATTAATCCTGCAATTCCTGTATATACCACATTTTATACTGTGAGGAAAATAAAATGGAAGAGGCATCGATTCAGATAATGAATGTTTTTAGCTTCCAGCAGTTGGTGCACCAGGTTGAGGTATCTCTATGGACACAGTGTGCTCCTGTTCAAACTCACGTATCATCAACATCAGCAGTGTTGTCATTATCGCTTGCCACAAGGACCTCTCTGTTTTCGTATGTCCAGAACCCATTCAGATCAATTAGAATGCTGGTAACAGTGTCTCCTTGACTGCTATTGATTAAGTCCTGAAGGGAAATTTTGTAAGGATCCTTAGGCTTTACCATATCAAAGATTTCATCCTGTGAAAGAGAAGTCAGTATTAGGGAAAAAAACCCACACACATTAATGAGCGGAATAATGGTTACTTTATAGCATAATAGAGAGTGATCTTTGGGTAACTAGTGCCACCCTCACCAATTTACAAAAGAAGCTGTTAAGTCAGTCCCACACAAAGGACAATACTGGCTGTGGACAGGAGCAGTGTGCTGAGCTCCCACTTCTCAAAGAACGTGCTTTTCTGGGGAGGCTCTGGCCTCAAAATGGCAACATGAAATTCAGCTTTCATGAACGAAGTTGAAAAGTATAAAAGCTTCTATAAAGTAGTAAAACTGCTAAATGTAAAGTGGGCAGTAATAAAGTTTTCTAAGACATGTTTTTTTAGTCATCAGTCTGCTCCCTGCTCCAAGGGATGATCCTGAACCATAAAATAGACATACCAAGTATCTCCAAGTGCAAGACACAGCAACATGTATTTAACAGGTAATTTATATATTAGTAAGGAAACTACTAGAACAGTTACATACCAGATTTCTTACAGGGCCACTGCCAATATAAAAACATTTTCCAACCTACGAGTAGGATCAGATCATGATCACCTCTACTAGTCTGCAAATAAACATACAACCTAGACACTGTAACTAACATAAGTAAATTATTAAATGCTTATTTAAGTATTTCACGTCGTACTCTATTCAGTAAAACTAACCTTGACATCCTGAAAAGAAACAGGTTCTTGTCCGTGGATTTTCATTTGTTCCTGAATAGCCTAGGGGGAAAAAGTTAGGAACAGGTAGTGAAGTATTATACTGACACTGTATGAAACCTTTTAATGCTTCTGCATCTTAAGCCATATTGCCCTGTGACAAAGCATTCAATGCCACAGCCTGCAATCAATTCTCTTCCACAAGGGAGGTATAAGGCAGGGGTGAGTTAAGGCATTACAAATGATACACACATGTGGGTTCACAGTTCTTAGTCACTGTAGGAATCCACCTTTCATTATGACGAGTGTTTGAGCACTCTGCAAATGGGATATGCAGACATTTGACTATTATCACTCAACACTTAAGATAAACTGAACCTTCTGGTTTGAGTGCTCTGACAAAGTGTAAAATACACACTAGGTAAAGACAAGGGGAAAGATCAACCAGCAGACAGGAAAAGCAGTGTAGCTGCTCACTCTTCCCATTTCTTTGAAAATGGAACCTGTATTCTGGTTGATCAAATAATAACGTGAGGGAGACCGTGTTGTCTATTTGAGCACTTGTCCATGCATGGATGGGTTCACCCAGTTCATGCTGTAACTGAGCACTTCTCATTTTGAGCAAAATATTCCCTACTGTTAGTTCCTTCAATGCGGTACTATTTAAACAGCTGCATCACTAAACCTCTGCCTGCACGTAACAACTATGAACAAAACTGTTCCATGAGTGCAGGCTGTGCAGCCTTGTCTGTATCAGCACAGCCTCTGTAGGTGCAGACTTACCCTTGCTTGTGCTAATAGGAAAGTGATTACTCACTGAGTCAAACAAACTGTTCCAATTTCAAGGAAAACTTAGAACATTCCATTTCCAAAAGACAAAAGGAAGGACACACTTTGGAGTATTATCAAGCGTCTGCTGTAGTTGAGGAATCTTCTCCATAATGAAGCCAATACAGTAAGTAACTGGAAACATGCACAAAAATAGCTATGCCTCAGTAGCTTATGCAGAATTACCTTGCTAAATTGCTTTCATTTTAGAATCACTTATATACTATGACAACACTAAAGTTCATGATTTGTAAAATATAAAACTGTAAATCAACACCGCTTATTAAAAATCAGAGACAGATGACATGGCCCCTGGTCTCCCTGCATCCTAATGCCACATGAACAAAAGTGGAGAGAGTGGTGGGAATGGTGAGCTGTAAAAGCAGGGAGAGATGATAAGGCATCGCCTCATTTCTCTAGGACCCTTAGTATTGCCAAGTGCTGCCCTGACA